AATTCACAAAGGAAGAGGTTTTTCTTGAAAACGATCATGCACGCAAATGTAACTTACCTATTAGGACGTGCTACAATAGTCCATGACTTAAAAATACCACCGATGCAAAATTTGACCCCCTAACGGCCGAAAAGGCAAAAATGGACTTGAAATGGAAAATATGGAAACCAAAATTAGGAAATGGTTTCAAATGACCATTTGGCCCTTGGCCACACTTCATATAAGATAAATGAGACCTAGTGGAGGTGCCGGAACACACTTTGCACCACCCGATTTGAAAATGAACCCTTAAAGGTTCGGATTCTACTCTTTTAGCCCAAAATGCAATATGTGAACTAAAATGCAAAAATGAAAACTAAATGGTGTTTGGCCCTTGGCCACACCTCACATATGGCAAATGAATGTTAAAGGATGAATTACATACACAATGCACACACTGGTGCGAAAATGACATATCAAAACCCTAATTTTCATACTTTTCTCATTAAAGGCAAAATTCAACATTCATGAATATTTATGGATTTCAAATAAAGTTTGGCCCTTGGCCACAAATTATATACATAGAATGAATACCAAAAAGTGTGCTTAATCACATAATACAAGTCAAAGGCGAAAAATGACATTTTGGCCTAATTACACAATACAATTCAAAAACTGAACTCAAGCATGCTAACACTTGCATGTGATCAAGAATGCATTTAAAAGGACTTCAAGCCTCCAAACCACCTAAGGAATGCTAAACATTACGAACCAAGTCTTCGTACCTGAAATATGCCCCAGTAACTTTGGGGTGAGCAGCATAAAGCTACTCGTAGGAAATGAGCATGCATCAACTTAGCATTTTACAAATTTATCACCTTAAGGTGAAACATGTTAAAGGGGCTCATGCCACCTAACGTCTATGTCAAAGTGAGACTCAGGGAGCATCTTAAGCTACCTTAGAGTCTAAGCAACAAGAATCATGATATACATACGTATATGAAACGAATCATGGTTAGGATAATCCAAAGAACAAGACAAGAAAACAATGGAACATAAGGATCACATTATCAATGCAATTTACATGATTGGAATTAAACCAATTAACACGATGAGAATTATACACAGAATCAAGAACAAGGCATAATATCTATGCAAGTATACAAGGATGGAACATTCCATATAACATGACAATAATTATGCTCGGACGTATGTTAACAAGAATTACATTATCGATGCGATTAACATGACAAGGAGTATACTTGAAATCACGAATGAGGCATACTATCTATGCAATGAAGCAAGATTTGAGCATTTCACATAACACGATAAGTTTAAATCTTCAAAGGAAAAGCAACTTGAAATTTAAAGAGTGATATTAACCAATGTGGAAACTCGGATATCGCCCGGATTAAAACCGTACTCTTGAGATCACTTTAGGCTACTAACCCATGGGTACCTTTCCCCTAGTGCGCACTATAGTTGTAGGAGGACATTCCCCTGTACTAGACCAAGTCCTAGCCATGTCAATTCTTGATTGATATCCCAAGTCCCAAAATCAACAAGTTGTGCAAGTCAAGATTGTATCAAATGCAATAAATACATTAACCACGTTTCATACACAACCAAGATTTTGGAACATACAAGTCATGCCCTAAGTTCATCAACTATAATGGCATGTGAAATGTCAAGAAATCATAGTATGCATCTATATACATTATAACCAAGGTACATAGCATAAGGATTCCATTGAAGTAGATATACCACAGGTATAAGATACATGATTTAAGTAATTACTAAGCAACACATGAGTAATTAAAATCATTTTAAGACCAACGTACTAGTTTATTAAACATATTAATGAAGTCATCATACTAGGGGTCATGATTAAACCGATGAAAGCATAAAAAAGGAACTTAATCTACTTAAGGGATTAAGTTGTCAAGATTACAAGGTAAGTCCAAGTGTTTTACAACAAGGCATGTCAAGGACAAGTCTAAGATCAAGTTACTAGTTCATTTCCTACGAGATTCAACCATGTGAATTTAGTTCCTTACAAAGGAATTAATTAAATATAAGTATCAAAACTTATCCGGTTATTCTCGATTTGACACACGTGAAGGAATTTGTCAAGGAGATCATGAATACCAAGTTAGAAACTTAATCAAGTACAAAGAATCATTAAGTAGGTTTTAATTAATCCTTTTAATTACAAACTCTAGATTTTGGAATTGATCCAATTGCTCTCAAGTTAATGTATGATATACAACATGTCAAGACTTGATTTAAAAACACTATACAAGTGAATTACATGCAAGATACGGCCATGAGTATTAAACTTTAATACTAGAAAATTAATAAATGAAAGGTTTCAAGACCTAATCAAATATTCTAGATTAAATATACGTGAAACTATATGGCATGCACATCATGAATATCAAGTCGGAAATCAAATGGAGTGAATAGTACACGCGGAATAAATTAATTAATCAATTAATTAAATATTCTCTAGATTTTAAAACATCTCCGATTACTCTCGAATTTACCTATGTTGAAGAGCATGCTAGGGCCTAATATAATATGGTAACACACATCGATTTCAAGCTAGTTAAGGCCACATGAATTAATATTTTATTCTAGTAAAATATTAAATAAAATCTTCGTTACTTGTCCAATTTCTCTCAATTTAATATATGTTAATCTACATACCAAGGGATAATATTCTATCACGCCACATGTTTAAACAAGGCTATGGGCAACTGGGAAAATCAAATCACATACTAGAAAATAAATAATTAAAATCTCTAGATTTAATATCCAAGCATGTAAACAAGTATCATAAGCATCACAAGCATGCTATATAACAAGAAAATAACCTAGAACACCCCTTACCTCAATTTGAGATGAAAACCTCAAATCCCCACTGAAAAAAAAGTGTCCCAAATTCGCCGAAACCAAAGGGTTTTGTCGGGGACAACACGATCTGCATGAATCCGAAGGAAGCCCCATGAAAATCACAACTTAACCTCGAACCCAAACTTAAGAAATGGTCAGAAATGAATTGTAATAAGGGGGAATGATAGAACACGTCGAGGGGAACAAAAAACGTGAAAGCCGAAGACTTTTCACTTAGGAAAAGTAAATCAAAGGAGGAGAGAGAAGGTGGAAGCTCCATGGACATCCATGGCTGCTTCAGGTCGTGCATGGAGAGTGGGGAAGATGGAAAATGAAATATCTCATCCCCCTTTTATAGAAATCTCAAAAAGTGCCTCAAACGGGCCCTGCCAGGTCCGGAAAAGTGGATTTTGAGTAAACGCGCTCAAATGGAAAAACTCCGTGAACAAAAAAGATTCAAAATGAGAAAATATGAACAACGGAAGAAACGGCGTCAAAAACTGAGTCCCGAGCATAAAGTTATGCCTCGAACAAATTCAACGGCAACCGGGTCCAGAAACTCTGAAACTGGAGAAAAACGACCAGAAGGAAATTCTAAGAGTCCATAACTCAAAAAAATGTGAAAATGAATCCCGTACGAGGATCCAGGCTCCAGATGAGGCATTTTGTAATAACTTTCGTTAATTGCGCAATGGCCCCTACAAAAAGGGTTAACTGCGAAACTGCCCCAGAATAAAAATATCTTCCAAAAGATATTTTCTTAGATATCCCTGAAATAAAATATCTTCAAAAGATATTTATGAAAAACACCCCAAGAAATGAAAAAGATTCTGAAGAATTGTGCATCCACGCTCCTATGGACATCGGGAGTAACCAGAGTACTTTATTGCAAAATTAAAGATACGTATTTCAAGGAAACCATCAAGATAAAGGCACGTGAAGTCAAAAACCAACTCCGAGCATGAGAAGTGAGGTTGTGCCAACAATGTGACAAATGAGGAAAAGACAGAATAGGGAAAAAGACGAAATAGGGAAAAGGACGAAAGGCGCATAGTGTCCGAAAAGTGAAAATGCAGAAATGACTCAATCCACAAAGGAAGTTGTCAATCCAAGGAAAAGAGTCTCAAAAACCATTTCCGAGCACTCGAGACGATACTAAGCGACAAGAAACAGAGCTCTGAAAAGAAAATTAAACGGAAAAAATTTATCCGTAAAATTTCAGGAAAAAAGAAAAAGAAGGCAAATAACCGGGTCGTTACATTACTTCACATGGTGGTGGTAGATATATGATGACATTGATTAATGACTTTTCTTGATGAGGCTTAAGGATAGACAATGGCTTGGAATTTTATGATGAAGAATTTAATGAGTTCTACAAGACTCATGGGATTGTGAGATACCACACAGTGTGGAAGACTCCAAAATAGAATGGAGTTGCAGAATGGATGAACATAACGCCATTAGAGAAGGCACGATGCATGTTGTCCAATGCAGGGTTAGACAATGTGTTCTGGGCTAAAGCTATTTCTACCACTAGTTACTTAGCGAACCAGTCTCCATCGACTATAAGATTCCGGAGGAGGTATGGTCTGGTTCTCCTACTAGTTACAGTAATCTAAAAATATTTGGTGTCTTGCGTATGCTTATGTAAATGAGGGGAAGCTTGAACCGAGGGCTAAGAAATGCATTTTTCATGGTTATCAGCCTAGGATCAAGGGATACAGATTATGGTGCCTAGAGGCTTTGGGAAAGAAGATACTTGTTACCAGGGATATAACTTTTCATGAGTCTGCGATTCTTACTCCGCAGAAGGAGGTAGTTGATTTAGTGAGAGCTCAGGGTGTCAGCAAGCAAGTGGAACAACAAAGGTTTAGCTATAGAATAATCATTATTGGTTTACTGATGAGCAGTTGCAGTTTCAAACTGAGGGAGATGCACAATTACAGTAGTATAATGTGGCTAAAGATAGGCCTAGGAAGGAGACTAGGCCACCTCAGAAGTATGGGTTTTCATATACTGATTCGGTTGCTTATGCACTTAGTGTGGTAGAGGATATTGATGAGCATGTATCATATACTTATCATGAGGCCATTATAGGTGTACAATTAGCATAGTAGGTTATTGCCATGAGTAAGGAGATTGAGTCTTTTCTTAAGAACCAGACTTGGTACCTAGTTAAAAAGCATAAAGGCCAAAAGATTGTGGGTTATAAATGGAGTTTTAAGAAGAAGGAAGGATCTTTGGGAGTGGAAGATGTGAGGTTCATGGCATGCTTAGTGGTGAAGGGTTATACACTGAGGGAAGGGGTGGACTTCAATGATATGTTTTCTTTTATGTTGAAACATAGCTCAATCCGGGTGTTACTTACTATAGTTGCTCAGTATGAATTGGAGTTTGAGCAACTTGATGTCAAGCCTGTTTTCTTGCATGGTTAGTTGGAAGAGCATATTTATATGCATCATTTTGAGGGGTTTGAGATTATGGAAAAGGAACATCATGTTTGCCTACTAAAAAAGTCCTTGTCTAGGCAGAAGCAATCTCTTAGAGAGTGGTATAAACCATTTGACACCTTTATGGTTGGGAGTGGCTATTATAGGGGTGAGTTTGACAGTTATGTGTATCACATGAGGTTCTTAGATGGTTTGTATTTGTACTTGTTGATGACATGTTGATAACTTACAACAAAAAAGATTGAAATCCACATGTTGAAGGTTCAACTTAGTGGTGAATTTGAGATGAAGGATTTTGGTGCTAAAAAAAGGATTTTGGGTATAAAAATTCATAGGGACAAGAGTGGGCAGGCATATTTTATTTTTCATAATGGAAATACATTATAAAGGTGCTGGAACACTTCGGTATGCAAGCATCAAAGCCTGTGAACACTCCATTAGCTGCCCACTTTAGACTTTTAGCAAGATTGTCACCACAGACCGAGGAGGAGGCAGAGCACATGTCTCATGTTCCTTATGTTAATGTATTTGGTAGTTTTATGTGATAAGCCCTCTTCTATATAATAGAAAACCGACTTTGTAATGCGAGAGGTCTCTTCGCAAGGTCAAAATATAATTAAGGTTTAGGAAGCCTTTAAAAGTCAAATTTACATTTATAAAACCACTACTACAACTAATGAAGTATAGCGAGTAGGGATCGTCCGCAGAGATTATACGTGTTGGAATTTAACTTCGACTCTAGCGTATCAAAAGATTGCAAAAGAAGGTTGGTTGTTTGATTACACTAAGATGCAATTAATTAAAATGCAAGTAAAGTAAACTAATGAGAGATAGGGATTTAAGAGATATGAAGAAAGGCCTTAGGTGTTGAAATCACCACTAAGCTCATGTAATTAACCACCTTCTTTCCATTAATGAAGAATACATTGTTGCAATCTAGATGTGGCCACAAACATAAACACATTTTGCATGTAAAAGTGTGAACTATCTAATGCAAGTGTGAATTGTTTACCTAACCAACAAGTAAACTAAGTGTAGAACAACCCACCAAGACAAAGGCATAATCCATCAATTAATTAACAAATGTATCTAATGAGAGCACATATCAATCTAGAGAATCATGAAATTTACAATAATAAGTGTGGAGTATCAAATCAAGCATAGATTGTCTACCTACCTACAAACATGAATTAAATTGTGGAACAACCCATCAAGTGTAAGCATAATCCATCAAATTAATTAACAAACCCATTCAATAAAAACCATACTTAACCATCACTAAATTCTTAATTAATCACACATAGACATGCAACCAACATAGAGAATCTAGTGTAGAGATCAATTCTCAAATAATCACACATAAGACAACATGTAATTAAAATAGAGAATCACTAGAAAGAATTTAATCAACAATCACTAGGTTAACTACTAATCACAACAATATATATTAATCCCCAAAAATATAAATACAAGGGTTTAGATTACACAAGACTTAAGACTCATCCAAGCCCTAAGTGAAGATCTAGCCCATGGTGGTAAAGATGGTCAAGGTGTCAACAAGGTCCTCCTCCAAGCATGGCATCATCATATTTTTCTTCTTTTTTGAAGCTCTTTAGAGAGTGTGTGTAGATATTCTTCAAACCCTTGTGCCTCTACTTCCCTCTTTTCTTCTAACCCTAATTTCTAACTTTCTAGAGAGAGAAACTAACTATTACAAAATGAATTACAATGTAAATTAAAACCTCTCCTTTACAAATGGTTCAATTAGCCTTTTATATGTGGCCCTTGGAGTCCCAAACAAGTCAAAAATATATCAAAAAATGGTCCAAACCCATAGCCCCTTCGTCCATAAAGTTTAAGCCCGAACTGATATTAAAACTGCTTTCAGCACGATTGTTCACAGGTATGGTTCGATTGTTTAGAGCTCGCTCAATCGATCAGAGCTTTGGTTCAATCGATCAGAGCTTTGGTTCAATCGATCATAGCATCTTGGCGCATAATGTGGATAAGGACAAAGGCTGAGATATTTATGGGGATAAGGACAAAAGTAGTTATGAGGATGAGATCAAAAAGTTCGATCGTTCAGAGCTCGATTGTTCAGAGTTCGATCGTTCCAACTAGGGAGTTTTCAACATCAGCCTCATTTTGCTCCAACTTCTCACCAAGACTCAGTTTGACTCCGAAAAGGCCTTAATGGACCAAAATTAGCCGTTTGAACCTTATTAACATGAAATAGACAAAAACACAAATTAGAACTAAAACGGGAAAGTAAGATAGATAAAAGAACTAAAATACCCTATCTTAGGTGCTAAAATGTGCAACATTTGAGCACCCATCATTATGTATGCTATGGTGTGCACTAGGTCAAACATTTCATATCAGCTAGTGTAGTGAGCAGATACATGGATAGACCTAGGAAGGTCCATTGATACGTTGTGAAGTGGATATGGCGGTACTTATGAGGCATTGTAGATGTTGGCTTAGTCTATGACAGAGGCAGCGACATGTGTAAGAGTGTCTTTGGATGTGTTAATTCGGATTATGTTGGAGATCTTAATAGGAAGAGGTTCTTGATAGGGTATCTCTTCACTCATTGTGGAAGTGTGGTTAAGTGGGCGACTTTACAGTCAACAGATGCATTATCTACTACTGGGACTGAGTACATTGGCAGTTACAGAGGCAGTTGACAAGCTTGGTTTGTGATTTAGGCTTGTAGCAGGATGATTTGACTGTGTTTTGCAACAGCCAGAGTGCCATAGACCTGATTGAAAATTAATGTTCTATGAAAGGACTAAGCATATTAATGTTAGGTTTCACTTAATCAAAGATGTGATTGAATAGGACAACATTATAGTAAGGAAGATTGTGACAACAGAGAATCCGGCAGATAGCATGACTAAGGTCATTCCTACTTTCAAGTTCTGACATTGTCTGGACTTGATTGGTGTTTGCAGTTGCTAAGGCCCTAAGGGGCATGTGGAGGAGGCGAAAGGAGTAGTTGGAGATTGTGGAGCTTGGCGTAATTCGAGCCAAGGTAGAGATTTGTGATATTGTGGTCCGAATTTGGTGTTGGGTTATGACTTGACAACTCGTTGAATATTTTTGACCCAGTTTTTTTGCTTGCAGGTCGTGGACATTGTTTAGTACTCTCTTGTTACCCGATATATAAGGGCACTTAGGGTTTGGAGTGTAATAATTGAGACACTGAAAATCATAGGGAGCTGAAATTTGTAAACTCCTATTTTTTGCATAGTGAAAACATTCACCGGATCTCCACCATGGATATAGGCTTTACCGAATCACGTTAAATCTGTGTTCTTTGTGTGATGTGCTTCCCTTTTCTGTCATATTTCCTGATTTGTTTTTGAATTCACTGCGCCTGTCATAACATCTTCTATAAGAAGGTTTTTTTTTTTTTTTTTTTTTTTTTTTTGATTTTTTTTTTCTTTCTAAATGGAATTGTGTTAAAACGATAAAGCAATAAAGTACAGGATTATAGAGACTTTCTTTCTCAATGTGGTTATTTGCACTCTTGTTGTACACACTATATCTCTCTAAGATTCTTATTAGTCTTGGCTTAGACATCCCACAAATGGGTGATAGGGTGACATCTTTGGGCATTGAAGATTGTTGGAGCAAGGAGGAGGAAAGTGGTCTAAGGAATAGGAGATCTAGCAAGGAAGGGATTGGAGTTCCTACAATCTACAAGTGCGTTTGAAGATTGGAAGAGGGGACAATACATAATTCCTTGAGAAAATAATATGTCCTCATGATGAAGAGTAGCTTCTGGACTCTCTCGAATTACCTTCTTCTTTTTAAATAAATTAATCATTAAAAGGATCAATGAGAAGAAGAGACATATTATTCTGCAACTCATGTCTTAAATTTGCAATAGTAGTATAAATGTTATCTTTGAACTGTTCGAAACTCAAATATCAGTTTTAAGAAGCTTCAATTTTTTCATTAATGTGAGTTATGCAATGCGGAAGTTGTCTGTTAATTTAGTTCATGGTGTACTAATAACCTAGAAAGGGTGAATAAGTCAATAATGTAAAACAAGTAGAGTTTTGAGAGATGACACCGGAATTTTTAGGGTGAAAACCCTATTGGAGAAAATCAACCAACTTAGGAGAAAACCACGAAGACCTTGCCGTTTCTAACCAATCCACTATCTTGAAGTAAAGTTACAAACTCTGACTCAGGCTCACACCCTCTCCATTATACTAAGAACTACTTACTAAACATCTTTGGCTTTGTGACTTCTCGTCCAAAGACTTCAGGCTTATACCTCAATCCTTGTGGATGGGTTTTTAATAGAACATGAACACTCCTAGGATGATATGTTCCCTTCGTAGTGATCAATACCCTTTCCTTTCAATGACATGGTAGAACACGAACACTCGTCGAGTGCAATTCAATTTCAATTATTAAGACACAAGATAAACCAAAAATTACGACTCGATCAACAAGTTTTGACACTGAAATTTGCCAACACAAAAACCTATATATCTCACAATTAACTTGTGAATAGGGTTGCTATTGACTTTTACTGTCCAAGTAGATTAAATTTTAAATATTTTTTTTTATACTTGTGAGCAATTTAATTTTAAACCAACAAAAAGGTTATATTAAATTTTAAGTGTGGAGATTGGACAATTGGGCAACCTGAATTAAGTAGACTATATAATCCGACCTAACTCGACAATTTAGGCACCAGGATTGATAATACAAAGTGACGGAGAATATATAGTGGTAAAACTAGTAGAATTGGTGCGGGTTGGAAAAATGGAGGCAAGTTAGTGGGATATTCTGTGGTAAAAGAATAACACCAACTTTGTTGTATGGGTCAGAGTGTTGGGCACTAAAGAAGGGACAATAACAATAACTTCATGTAGTGAAAATGAGAATATTAAGGTGGATGAGTGGAGTGACTAGAAGAGAGTTCACTAGTAAGAGTGTGAGAGAAAAATTAGGTTAGTTTTCATTGGTGAGAAAATTAGAAAGACTAAACTTAGATGGTTTGGACACATATACTGAAGACCCGGCACACCGATGAAGCAAGGAAGACTAGATGTAATAGAATGTAAGAGACAGAGAGGGTATCTCAAAAATAACATGAGATGAGGTTATTAAAAATGACTTCAAAAATTAAATATGGCATGGGAAATGGCATGTAATAGAAAAGATTGGAGAGATCCCATTCGTGTGAGATTAAGGTAGGGAATATGATGATGATGATGATCTAACTTGAAATCTATGCTCGAGTTGCAAACGTGAGTTCAAAAATTGAAGAATGGGTTGGGCATGCTCCAATTGAGTAATTAGGACTGAATGTGTCATACGTGGGATTGAGCCCGAGTTGTACCTCCAACCCGCCCAACTTACAAGCCTAGTTTGACTGAGAGGACTCATACTAATAAACAAAATAAGATTATATAGTATAGTTGGATTCCAAGTGTAATTCTTAGTTAAAGATGGCTATCAATCATTGAACAAAAACAATGCATAAACAATCAAATGACTCTTATAAAATAATTTATTTTAATTATTGGATTAACTTCAACTAACAGTGGGTGCCTTGTCAGTGAACTCCTTAATTTGATTCATCTATATATATTGAACGCTACACATTTCAATCTACATTTATGCAGTGTCTGTCAACTTTGCGGGAAGGAATGAAACAATGACTTCACTATATTGCTCACACTAAACGTATTTAAGTGTATAAACATAGTCAGATAGAGATTTACAAGTGCTGATTTGTGAAGTGATTTATTAAAGCATTGGTAGTAGATTAATTTATGTAGAAAGGCATTGAAATAATTCAGAGTTTAAGTATATTATTTATAAGATTGGTAGCTTAATTTGAAACACATAGTTGTATAACTTATGTCCTCTAGTTTTATGTGTCAATTTGCACATAACAGACACAAGATTTCCTTGTCAATACTGGCACATACGGAGCAACCCAAGCAGAGATGCTCTTGTGCCAACTCAAACCTCACTGCAAACAGATAAAAACAAGCAGCTCCTCTAGTTTACTGCGAACAATAAGAAATTCGCAGGCAAAAAGCTCTATATATAACCTAAATCGGATACATTAATAAGACCAAAAATAGTGAAAATTAAGAAGCAAAATGTACCTGTACCAATATTTTGGTTCGCTTACGATAACTTTAGGTATCATACTCTGTTGCTTGGTCTTTGATGCTAATGGCGACTACTTAATCGGAGTTGGCAGCTACGACTCAACAGGTCCAGCTGCTGGGGTGAACATGATGGGTTATGCCAATATGGAACAATCGACAGCAGGTGTGCATTTTCGGCTAAGAGCACGAGCATTCATTGTTGCTGACAGTAGTTCTCAAGGTGCAAGGTTTGCATTTGTCAACCTGGACGCAGGAATGGCTTCACAGCTTGTCACTATTAAAGTGCTTGAGAGGCTAAAATCAAGGTTTGTAATCCAATGATGACATTCTTGCTTTAGTCTCGAAAGATTCAGATTAATCTTTTTTTTTTTTTTTTGAAGGTATGGGAATCTATATAACGAAGAAAATGTAGCAATCAGTGGTACACACACTCATGCTGGTCCAGGGGGTTATTTGCAGTATCTGGTTTACTCAATTACCTCTCTCGGCTTTGTTCCACAATCGTTTGATGCCATTGTCACTGCAATTGAATTGAGCATTGTTCAGGCTCACCAAAATCTTAAGCCAGGTTCCGTTTACATTAATCAAGGTGAGCTAATAATTATAATTTGTTGGTGTGCTTTAGTGCCTAATGTCTTTAATTTCGAATAACATCAATTTCTATGGTACAGTACTGATCAAACTGTGTGTGACTTGCTCATAAGTTTTCTAACACGGCCAATGAACAACAAAGCAATCGTTCTAGTTGTGCTATCTTCGGTTATGGAATGTCGAAAAAAAAAAAAAAGGCGATTAATTTAGGATAAAGAATAATTCTGAGCATAGCACTTGATGAAAATGTACAAGCATGAAATATTACTGATTTGAAAAGCTATGATGCTTTTTTGCAGGGGATGTTGAGAATGCTGGAGTAAATAGGAGCCCTAGTGCGTATCTGTTCAACCCTCCGGAGGAGAGAGCTAGATATCCAACCAACGTTGATACCCAAATGACCCTTCTCAAATTTGTGGATGGAAAGAGTGGTAAGAGCATTGGAGCATTCAACTGGTTTGCGACGCATGGAACCTCTATGAGCAAAAACAACAATCTCATCAGTGGAGACAACAAGGGTGCCGCTGCTAGGTTCTTCGAGGACTGGTTCTCCTCCACCACAGGAAATGGCTCCACACCAACCACCTACTTCTCTAACACATCAAGTACCCTTTTCGATCTCTGCACGTGCAACAATAAACAATACAGTAAATTACACCAAAAGTTTGGCTAGAGTCTTACAATTAGAAATGTCAAATTCATTAGAACTTCCATATAGAAGTAAACTAATTTAATTTCTTTGATATATGAATGTGAAATAGGCCTTAAAAGTAAGTTAGAGAAAGCAGCAATAATCAAAGCAACTGGAGGACAATCCTGCAACAAAACAACCAGCCAAAAGTTCAAGGTGAGAAAGAACGATGGGTCCCAATTTGTGGGAGCATTCTGCCAATCAAATGTTGGCGACGTGAGCCCCAATGTGCTGGGAGCATTTTGCACTGACAGTGGCAAACCTTGTGATTTCAATCACTCCTCATGCCATGGAAATGACCAGCTTTGTGTGGCTCGTGGACCTGGGTATATTATTGCAATCTAAATCTTTCTTGTGCCTACACAAGTGTTATTATGATCAATACTAACATTTACAAGGCCTTGTGAATTTTAATAATAGATATCCAGATGAAACACTAAGCACAAAGATCATAGGGGAGAGACAGTTTAAAAAGGCCGTTGATCTATTCACTTCTGCTCAGGAACAATTAAGTGGAAAAATCGATTATCAACAGGCTTATCTGAATTTCACAAATCTGGAGGTGGAGATAGATGGAAACAAGGTAGTCAAAACTTGTCCTGCTGCCCTCGGCCCAGGTTTCGCTGCTGGAACTACAGATGGGCCTGGTGCGTTCGGATTTCAACAAGGCGATACAGAGGTCAACTAACTCCTTTCTATTGAAATCCAATATTTTAAGTATGTTTCTCCAGGACTCCTTTCTATTGAAATCCAATATTTTAAGTATGTTTCTCCAGGACCAAGACTAAGACTCTTTATCATCCTCATCATTCTTGTCTTAGTTCCATTAAAATGGGGTCGACCAAGGCTAAGGATTGTTATTGACCCCAAATAAGTGGGCAAAACAGCATTTAAAACCTTCATAGGCTAGATTAGACCATGTACTATCACAATGAGTGTTAACAGATGTTAGTTATCTATATCTGCAGATAAACGAGTTATGGAAAAAGCTAAGGGATTTACTGAAAGAACCAAGCCAATATCAGGTGGACTGTCAAGAGCCCAAAGCCGTTCTGCTTAGCACTGGTGAAATGTTTGTCCCCTACGCATGGGCGGTAAGACCCAAATTTATACTCTTATCTTTCAACTTTTCAATCAACGCCATCTTCTTGCCACGATCTCAGATTGAACAGTTCATGTTTTAGACTTTAGTATTGAAAAAACAGACTTGTTTTTTTATGGTACGAAAACTTAATATTACTGAATGTTAAATGAAAGGTAATCCTAACATTTAATCTGAATTTCCTAGCGAACTACAAACTAATTTCAAGATTACTAAATCAATAATAAAAATCTTGATTACTTCATTTTGAGTTTATCAAACAGCTTATGTTAGGCATAGAAAAAAGACATTTTTCTTCTCACATTTTCATTTGTAATATCATGAACTAACATTGACCTTTCTAACCAACTCATAATCATAATTATTACTACTTCTTTTATTGAGAAACTTTCTCTAAATTTAAATTGTTAAAAAAATATAAATAAAAATCTATAGACAAAAATTAAACCACTATTTCACATCTCTTGGTTCCCAATTCTCCAAGGATTGAGCTTATTCTCCCACTGTGTATCTCAAAAGAGGACGCCCTTTAAACTATGTATAAATATTTCAAGCCACTCTATTTTCCTTCGGTGGCAGATTAATTTTATAATTTGTTTTCATTATTAATGCAGCCAGCAATTCTCCCAATTCAAATCCTCAGGTTGGGAAAACTGATCATACTCTCTGTACCAGGAGGTTTGTTTTTCTTCTCATCAAACTCCAATAAAGTGTCTCATTTTCCTCTTCCTAATAGCTCATACGTTAAATGAAATAACCAAGTCCCCACCAATTTACATGTATAATTGTACAAGCTACTACTGCTGATAGCTAATATTTTTAGCAAAAATTCTGCTAATATTTATAGCACGATCCTAGTTGAAACCGCAACTTGTATTTGGCTAATCTTTGTATTAGCATTGTTCGTGGTACTGTTCAACAAGATTGCACAAGAAGCAGAGGCATATTATAAGATCTTCAATGAGGATTTTTAATCCATATATCACCACAAAGCTTCAATACAGCTTGAGGTGGAAAATTGTGAAATGTTTCTACATCATTCACACAGAAAGCTACTTAATACAACATTCTGACCCCTAGCTCAGACTTGGCTCTCACAAATAAAGGGAATTCTTAATTGAAACTTAGCGCCCTGTATAGCAAAAGCTACCAAGCCAGACCTTCTAAAGTTCATCAACTTAGGCCTATAGCTACCGAGCACTAGCATGAATTGAATGGTTCAATGTCTGAGACTTGCAGAGTTCACAACAATGGCTGGCAGGCGACTAAGGGAGGCGGTTAAGGAGACGTTGATAAGTAATGGAAATGGGGAATTTGACGATCAAACCCATGTTGTAATAGCAGGCCTTACAAACACATATTCACAGTACATTGCAACTATTGAAGAATACCAGCAACAACGATACGAGGTATTTATGAAATCATGCATTAATTTAACAATATCTATGTTTGGAGATAGTATCTGGAGAAGGAAATTTAGGTATAAACATGAGTCCGTTGATTATTATAAATATAAACCATATTTTTACTATTTAGCTTCTGTGGCATTAAGTGCATTTGAATTTAAAATAAAATACTTGCTTTTTTACTTTCTACTGACTCATCAAAACTTCTTGTAACATATCTATCTAAATTTGGCAACAAAATAAATCCTTAGTTGTAATGTGCAGGCTGCTTCAACACTCTATGGTCCACATACATTATCTGCATATATCCAAGAATTCAATAAGCTAGCAAAAGCAATGGCAAAAGGAGAAAAGAGCCCTAATGGAGGCCCCTCACCGCCGGATCTCAACTCTGTTCAGCTCATACTCTTACAAGATCCTTATGGTGATTCACCTCCCCCGGGGAAAAAATTTGGGGACATGCAACAAGACATAATTTTGCCAAAAAGTGGTGCATTCAAAAATGAAGACAGGCCTAACGCCACATTTTGGAGCTCAAACCCCAGATATGACCTATTGACAGAAGGCACATTTGCAGTGGTAGAAAAGCTTGAAAGTGAACGGTGGGTTCCAGTTTATGATGACGATGATTTCTGCCTATTCTTTAAGTATAGAGTAGATAACGTTAGCTTTTCCGGCTTAGCAACCATTGAATGGGAAGTTCCAGAGGAGGCCACCTCCGGGGTTTACCGGTTAAGGCACTTTGGGTCGTCAAAGAAAACAGAAAAATCCCCCCTCGAGTACTTTATGGGTGCATCTAGTGCATTTTCAGTGTCTTAAAAGAAGTACAAGTGTGCTGCATTTACTTCTAGCCAAAAAACAAAAATAAGAGCAGTAAGTTCAACTGTTTCTCATATGGATTTAGAATATATGTACAGAATAAGAACATTTAGATCAAGCACCAAAACTTTTGTTCTCTATAAATTTTGTATTAAACACGCGCTATGATTAAAGCAGGAACTAGTGAAAGCGTGCACAAGATTACACCAGATGAACTTACTAATGTGCAATACAAAACACACAACTTATGCACTTTCTTTCAACCAGTGAATTGGAACTCAAAAGCTCTGTTGATGTCTTTAAAGTTCCTCTTGATTAACCAGGTAGAAACATAAATTAATGTGAACTCTTAGGACCCGTTTACTAACAGGAAGTGATTCCTATTTTTCCTTTCACTGAAAGCAAAATCATGATTTCGATTTCCTAGAGTGAAATAGAAAGTAGAATCATGTTCAATGATGTCTCATATTTTCAATATATTGAAAGCAAGATAACAGAAAACAAGTTCAATAATTATGATTTTGATTTGTTTTCTAAATTGGCAATCCATTTCTAATAGCAACAAATTGTTCAAATCCAATAAAAGAGTGAAGAAAAAGGACTACACAACTGATCATGAATAATAAATGAAAATTTTGGTTCCCACTTCCCAGGTCCTAGACATTTTGCTCAACTACATTTCTTTTCATTGAAGATTCTAGCTCTTAAAAAATATATATATTGAAATGAAATCTTGAGTTCTTGCATCCCAACACTCATCTCAATTTATGTATATTCGTGTGTGTGTATATATATAGCTGTGTAAGGATTTAAGATGGTTATTGATTGATTACCGTTTGAAAAACTAAATCTACTAATGAATATCCATTCTAAATCACCCATTTGAACCACTTGTTTAATTTATTTGGAGCATCATAAGATCCATATATATGTACATATATATCATAAACATACAGCATGGTTAATCTAGTAATTATAAGATCCTGATCAGAAGCACCCACTCACAAACCCACCCCAAACCAATATATATATATATATATATATATATATATCTGATGAGAGTAAATTTACCTAAAGCATTATTCGCCGCCCGATGCTATAGAGCGGTCCTGTTCACCCGAATCGTGTGACTTAGAATGAAAGCACTAATTTGGGGTTTAAAATTAAATATTTGTTATTTTAAACTGCAAAATGCAATAAACCCCTTTACTGTTCGCGTTTTGCAATAAATCCCCTTCAATTAATTCTTTTACAAAAAAATCCCTCCAACTATTCAAGAGGAGTAATATAGTGTGATTGAATGGGTGTGGATGGAAGCTGGTTTTGAGACAAAAATGGCCTTATTCCTATTATATAGAACAAATTGCTTTAAATCCTTTGCTACTTTGAATTTTTTGCAAAATACTTTCATGAAAAAAAAAAAAAAAAAAAAAAAAAAAAGCGCACATAAAACCTCCCTAATTATCCAATTTGTGGCAAAGTGATGTTATAACAGCTAAAGTACCCCTTAATATAAATTTAATTAAATGGTGTACCTTAATATTAAATTAAAATTAATACAAACTCATTTGGCTTAGTGTTGTAATAAAAAAAATTAAATTATTTTTTAAAAAAATGATGGGTCTATAAGAAAATGAAAATACCTAGAAACAATTTTCAAAATTTTCTTAATATATATTTTTTTAAATAAAAAAGAAAAGAAAAGCTAAATAAAAATAAAAGTTTGAAAATTGCTTCAAGGTATTTTAATTTGAAAACATAAAAAGAAAAGAAAAGCTAAATAAAGGTATTTTCTTTTTTATTTTAAAAATAAAAATTTAAGAATATTTTAAAAATTGTTTCATGGTTATTTCATTTTTTTTAAAAAAAAAAAAAATTAAGAAAATCTTGAAGATTATTTCAAGGTATTTTCATTTTCTCATAGACACACCATTTAAAAAAATTACAAAAATTTATAACATTACTATGCAAAATGAGTTCGTATTAATTTAATTTAATATTAAGGAGCACAATTTTATTAAATTTATATTAAGGGTCACTTTAGTCATTAGAACATCACTTTGCAACAAATTGGATAGTTAAGGGGTTTATGTGAACCTATGATCAAGGAGGTTGCTTGCCAAAAATTCAAAGTAGAGGAGGTTTTGTGCAATTTTTCCTATATAATGGACATTTTCGTCTCAAAACATTTTTCATCCACTCTCATCCACTATGTTACCCCACTTGGAAAGTTGGAGGGGTTTTTTTGACAAAAAATTAGTCAAGGGGAGTGTATGCAAAACATGAATAATTGATGGGGGCTTATTGCACTTTGCCCTATTTTAAATTATGTAAAGTGAGAAAACGCATCTAATGTTAAAATTTTGGGCAAATATATATATTAGTATATAAAGTGCATTAAGTTTGAAAAAATGATCAAAGAATGGCTTGAGATCATGTCATGTGCATCACACATAACATTTTTAAAATATAAAATTTCAAAAATATCATTTTCTCATTCGATAATGATCTTATATATAAGAAAAAAAAAAAAAAAAAAAAAAAAAAAAAAAAAGGACACTTTAGTTATTTCACATTTAATTATTTATTTATTTTACCCTTTTTTTATTTAGTTTTAGAGGGACACTTTAGTTTTTTTGGCATTCAGGCCCTTGTTTGCTCAAAAAATGAATGTTATGGAACACAAAATGGCAAACCCTTCAAGGGTTATGAAGAGGAAGATGATGGGAACAAAAAGCATTCCCAAGATTAAGCTTGGAAATCAATGGAAGGCCCTCAAAAACCAAAGTCAAGGCTTAAGGCCTTAAGCTCCATCCATGGAGGCTAGAGTTCTAATGTCAAGGATAATATAAATTGTGAGGGAGATAAAATGTGAGTAGAGGATTTAGAAGTCCTCCACTCACTAGGTGAACTAATACCATGATCAACACCCACACACATATGCAAGACCACATTTAGAGCCTACATTTGTCAAAATCAATGGCTCCTTCTTAAGCTTAATCTTGAGCCTACACTTGTCAACCATCTAAGCCAACAAGTGCACCAATCTTAGGCCAACAAGTGGTTGAATCTCCACCATCCACATGTCATCATCCAAGGCAACAAAGTGTTTTCCACACAAATGTCAACAAGTGGGCCAATGAGAGTGTGACACTTGTCACACTTTTCGGAAATTGCAAAAAGGTCATTTTTGAAAATATCTTCCAAATAAAATTGCAAAATGGTCCCTAAGACGAAAAATAATTACTTTACATAACTACACAAATAACCCCAAAAGAAAGAGAAATTCCAAAAAAGTGTGCATCCACACCCCTAAGGAAGAAAGTACACAACTAGCATGTTTTTCTACAAAAGTAAAAATACACATAGCATGAAATTTAAATATCGTTGATGCATGCAAAACTGGAATCAAATCCGAACACGAAAAGTGAGGTTATGCCAACAAAGTGACAACCGAGAAAAAGACGAAAAGTGAATAGTGTCACAAAAGTCAAAATGTGAAATAACTCGGTCCTCAAAGGAAGTCGTCAATCCAAATGAAAGAGTATCGGAAACTATTTCCGAGCACTCAGGATGACACTAAGTGACGAGAAACCGAACTCAGAAAGGAAAATATCAACAGAAAAAAAATATCCGTGAAAATCTGAGAAAATGAAAGGAAAGAAAATAACCGGGTCATTACAGAACTCCTAGGAACCCTAACAAAAAGTTATAGAGGTGTTTAAACGTTGCCGAAGATAGGGACGAATGAGTAAACAGGTGGAATTGGGTTTAGGGCTCTCAAAAAGGGAGAGAGCCGGCTCCATGGAAGTGGGAATCGGCTCCCTCAAGCAAAGAGGCGGGTCCATGTGATGGGGAGTTGGCTCTCTCATAAGTAGAGCTGGCTCCATGGTGAGGGGAGCCGGCTCCCTTTGTGGTGGAGTCTGCTTTACATTTTTTGAGAGCACGCTCTCTTGATTTGGTGCGTACATGTGATATTTTAGGCACTATTTGGGTGTTTTGGAGTTCCAGAATGGATTTGGGTTGATTATAGGGATTCTAAATAGTTTTTCAGGACATCTTAAAGTCCCATAATGCATAATTTATATCTGTATGCTAATAGTTAGAACAATATGAAATTTTTAAACAAGTTTACATGTTATCGAATGAGGAGAATTTAGTTGCTTAAATATTATTTTAGCAATTTAATGACTGTGATTATGATCTAATTTTAAGTTTGTATTGGATGCATAATACGCTAATGATTAGAACAATATGAAATTTTTAAAAAGTTTTCATTTTGTTAACGGATGTGGAGGATTTAATTGCTTAAATGTTAATTTAGCAACTTAAATGAATATGGTCTGATTTTAATCTTGTATTGGATGTATAATATGATCATGTGTATATCTGATTTATTTATTTTATTATGCTTGTTTATGGAATTAATTGACGTTTAAATTTATTATTTATTGCATCAATTATTGGATTTGTGGATTATATGCACCGGTATGGGACGGTGGCATATTAGGTACGGATTAGATCAAAACGTTAATTCCTACCTATTCTGGAATAAGGAAATGGATTAATTATAATATTAAATCCTACTTATATTTCGTGTCAGATCAATGAACAATTGAATGACATACCTTGGTTTGGATAGCTTTTTAGATATAAATGATTATGGTACCACGATATGAGCTTGAGTCTCAGAATCGATGGTTAGGGAGTGTATATCTAGTGGGATGCATAACTGGCTATGACAGGTAAAGGTGTACCCTGTTAGGTTTAGGTACGCATGCCCACTTCAGGTGCGTTTTGCATGTTACCTTTTAGTCAGGTTGAGACCGCCTTGTAGCTCAGTGAGAATCCCTTAGTTGGATATATATATATTTATAAACTAGATAGCTATTGTTGAGTTGTCTAGGATGTATCTGCATATCGGGTCTCTGTTTGGATTGTAGTAGAGTAGAAATTGCTCGTAGGCCTGACCCACTCTTATTTTTCAAGTGTTCGACAGT